AGAGAGTTCTAAAAGGAGAGTTGACGGTCTGGAAGACTAAATATCTGAGCTAGAGGTCATATAGCACTTAAAGAAAGCTCAAGGTTAGAGCGTTTTTAAGGGATAACTGTAGGTCTGGGAGTCCTTAATGGAGAGCTAACAGTCTGAGAATCCTTAAAGTATAGCTGAATGTCTGGGAGTATCAGTAGGAGTGCTAAGGCTTACAGAGTTCCTTAAGGAAAACTGAATGCCAAGGTTAGGGAGCCTTGAAAGGAGAACTTATGTTGAGAAAGCAGATCTTAAGGTCGGAGAGTTCCTAAGGGAGAGCTAAAGTCGAGGGAGGTCAGAACATTCAGAGTGTATTTACAGGGTAAGAGAAGGTCTGGAAGTCCTTAGTGGAGAGGTCAGAGAGTCCTTAAAGTGCTCTAAAAAATTGGTACCCAAAGTTATTTCAACGCAATGCCAATTCCAAATAAAAACAATTCTTCAGAATTTTACGGTAGACTCAATGACGTCTGCTGTATGTGTCGCGTCACTCTCATCCGGTGAATTGACCACAAAACTTTTCAACTGAACCGCAAAAAATATTTATTTTTTTTTATTAAATAATAAAAATTGCGGTTTTTTTAATTGAAGGTTAAACAACACCTCAAATGACCAGTGTCGGCAATTACGGCGGTTTCAAACATCAAAGCAAATATTCCGCATTGAATAACAGGGATGCAGAACATCGACAAACACTTCAGTTTGGATACAATTTCTCACCACACCATCATCATCCTCGCGCCATCTGTCATGATCTGCTGCTGGAAAAAAGGGTGTGTAATACTTTAAGAATATTATCACGCTTCTTTAACGGCATCAAAAGATTATTGTCAGTTATCCTGTGTACATAATGTCGTTATGTTTTTCCATCCTCTCCTTTGTACTTTCTCTCGCTATCTCTCTCTCTGTACATATCCTCGTGCCAATGACTGCAGCAACAAATCGCAATTGTGTACTTATTTATGTACGTAGTTGTTTTTTGCATGTCAGTCTGTCGTTCGGCATCGGTTTAATCTTCAAAGAATTCTACCGCATTCTGCACCAGGAGATCATAACTTCGTAGAGTCGAAACGGAATGTAGTTTGGATGTAGTTGTCTTTGATTCTCTGCGAAAGGGGGTGATTTTTTTCGGGCTCCACCCCAATCTATCGTAGTGATAGTAGTTCTTCTTTCATGTAGCAATGTTGGCATTCTATAAGGCAAACAGAGAGTGTCAGACAGTCAGTCAGTCCGCCATCCAGCCACTCAGTCAGCCAACCATTGAAACTACAAAATACAAGTTTCTTTTTTGTTTTTTTGTTGCGCCTTCAAAGGAAATCATGTTTCATTTGCACAATCCTTTGAGGTGGCAAAATCTGTCTGCAACAACAAAGTAAAGATCCACAAAAAGCCAAACAGATACACCAAAGCAAACACACACACACAGAGTATCACACCCAGACACACACTCATCCGCCCATCCAGCCACCCATACAACTGAGCAAAGAAAAAATCCATGCCGATAAAAGAGAATAAATAATGTGTAGTCGCTGTTGTTGTTGTTAGTTCATTTGAAACTTTTCGTTTTCCAGTGTAGTATCCTCATCCCATATGGCGGCTGGATGGGTGGGTCCTTTGACACCACCACCACCACCATCCAAATGAAACATGGATTGCATATAAATTACCCTTAAATGACATTTTCACACCCAAAAATTTTATTAACGCCAAAAATTGTTGCCATAGCTACGCTTTCTCCACCCCGAAAAAGAAAAACACAATAACACAAATTTTCACCAGCATTGGGCTTGCCATGACATTGCCGAAAAAAAGTGTTTGGAAAATATGCTTCCACAAGGCCAGCCGAATGTGTGCGTGCACCGTGCTCTGGTATTATGAGCTCCTAATATTGGAAGCCGAAAACTTCTTTGAAGTTCCACTCAAAGCCGCCGTTGTCATGGAACATCCAAAATTGGTTTATTTTCTTTTTCACCCCCTCCAGGTATGTTAGTTTTCCTGGAGGGGGTGAAAAAGAAAATAAACACACTAAGATATTGAGGCTTGCTATAAATAGTAATAGCAAATATTATAGATATGTATGTAGGAAGTTTGTAGAAGGTAGTTCAATTTCATTGTGGCTAGGTTCGATTTGCCAGGATAATGGGAACCTTTAGTAGAGAAGCTTAAAGCTCGAGTTCCTATAGAGGATCTGAAAGTCAGGGAGTAGTTATTGGAAATCATAGATTATTCTGATAGACTGTCCTTATTCCTAGCTAAAGGCCGGGGAGTCTTCTTAGGCTAGTCCAGGTCCTGGGAGTCCTTTTAAACAAACTATAGAACATATAAAATATTTTTAGCTGGATATCAGGGAATCATATGGGTGAAAGTAAGGGAGTCTACATAGAAAGTCTCCATAGACGAGCTGGAGGCCGGGAAGTCAATATATGCGAGCTGAAGGTCAGGGAGCCTTTATAGGCGAGCTGGAGATCAGGTAGCCTCTTTAGGCGAAATGAAGATTCGGCAGCCTTCATAGGCGAACTGAAGATCAGGGAGCCCTTAATGGCGACATGAAGGTGAGAGAGCCTCTACCACCTTCAGCTCAGTCAGAGAGCCTCCAAAGGCGTACTGAAGTTCAGGGAGCAAGCTAAAGGTCAGGGAGCCTCTATAGGCGAGCTGAAGGTCAGGGAGCCTCTATAGGCGAGCTGAAGGTCAGGGAGCCTCTATAGGCGAGCTGAAGGTCAGGAAGCCTCTATAGGCGAGCTGAAGGTCAGGAAGCCTCTATAGGCGAGCTGAAGGTCAGGAAGCCTCTACAGGCGAGCTGAAGGTCAGGAGCCTCTACAGGCGAGCTGAAGGACAGGGAGCCTCTGTAGGCGAGCTGAAGAACAGGGAGCCTCTATAGGCGAGCTGAGTGTCAGGGAGCCTCTATAGGCGAGCTGATGGTCAGGGATCGTCTTTAGGTGAGCTGAAGGTCAGGGAGCCTCTTTGGCTGAGCTAAATGTCAGGGAGCCTCTATGGCTGAGCTAAATGTCAGGGAGCCTCTATAGGTAAGCGGAAGGCGAGAAGAAATGTAGGGAGCTCGAGCGTGGAAGCTAATAGGTTCCCATGGATATTATGCCAGATGGTATCAATGCAACAGCTCGATGCGATGGAAACTCCATGGACCAGCTCGAAGCGAAGTAGATTCCATAAACGGGCTCGAAGTGATACCGACTAGTCTTCATAGTCGGCATAAAGTTCAAAGAAACTTTACAAAGGACCTGAACTTTAGGGCCAGTGAAGGCTTATAGACTAACGGAATTCAGGTAGGTTCTATAAACCTGAAGATCAAGTGGCCTCCATAGATGCTCAATAGGCAAGCTGAAGTCGATAAAACGAGCTGAAGGCCCACGAGTCGATATAGACGAGCTGAAGATCCACGAGTCGATATAGACGAGCTGAAAGGCCACGAGTCGATATAGACGAGCTGAAGACCCACGAGTCGATATAGACGAGCTGAAGACCCACGAGTCGATATAGACGAGCTGAAGACCCACGAGTCGATATAGACGAGCTGAAGACCCACGAGTCGATATAGACGAGCTGAAGACCCACGAGTCTACATGGACGAGCTGTAGGCCCACGAGTCGATATAGACGAGCTGAAGGCCCACGAGCCTATGTAGACGAGCTGAAGGCCCTCGAGCCTATATAGACGAGCTGAAGGCCCTCGAGCCTATATAGACGAGCTGAAGGCCCACGAGTCTATATAGACGAGCTGAAGGCCCTCGAGTCTATATAGACGAGCTAAAGGCCCACGAGTCTATATAGACGAGCTGAAGGCCCTCGAGTCTATATAGACGAGCTGAAGGCCCACGAGTCTATATAGACGAGCTGAAGGCCCTCGAGTCTATATAGACGAGCTGAAGGCCCTCGAGTCTATATAGACGAGTTGAAGGCCCTCGAGTCATAGTAGACGCACAGATGGCTTTGAAGTCCTCGTAGACGAGCTGGATGCTTATGAGACCTTATATGAAAGCTTTAGGCCGTCTTGTATCCACAGAATACCTGTGGAAGTCTTGTTAAAGGTCTCCTATCCACAGAAGACCTGTGGAAGGACTCCTATTCTGTGGAAGTCTTTCTATCCATAGAAGGTCTCATTCTAGGCCTGTGGAAGGTGTTTTATACGTAGAAGGTAGGTCTTCTTTCCATAGAAGACCTATGAAATATCTTTTTTCCACAGAAGACCTGTAGAAGGTCTTATATGCATAGAAGACCTATAGAATGTCTGTTTTCCATAGAAGAACTGTGGAAGGTCTTCTATCCATAGGAGACCTGTCGAAGGTCTTCTATCTACAGAAGACCTGTGGAAGTTCTTATATCTATAGAAGACCTGTGGAAGGTCTTCTATCCATAGAAGACCTGTGGAAGGTGTTTTATACGTAGAAGGTAGGTCTTCTTCCACAGAAGACCTATGAAATGTCTTCTTTCCACAGAAGACCTGTGGAAGGTCTCATATCCATAAAAGACCTATAGAATGTCTGTTTTCCATAGAAGAACTGTGGAAGATCTTCTATCCATAAGAGACCTGTCGAAGATCTTCTATCTATAGAAGACCTGTGGAAGGTCTTCTATCTATAGAAGACCTGTGAAAGGTCTTCCATCTATAGAAGTCCTGTGGAAGGTCCTTTAGGAGGTCTTCTATCCATAGAAGAACTGTAGAAGGTCTTCTATCCTTCTATGGAAGGTCTTTTATCCATAGATGACACGTGTAATGTCTTCCATCTGTAGAAAGCCTGCGGAAGTTTATAAAGTGTTCTTGTTTTATAAACCTTGATCTCTAAAAATATTTTTTCATAATTTTTTCGATTGTTGTTCTTGTCTGTTCTGTTCTTTTTTCGTTTTTTTTTTTTTTTTTTTCTGTGAAATACATTTAAATTGGCTTTACATTCATACATTTCTTTAACTTCCACCAAATAATGTTTCTAACATTTTTCCGAAATTCTTCTCTTCTCTCCACAGTTATGAATGCCTGGTGGAAAATGCGGAAGAAGTCTTTGAAGATTGGCGGCACAAAGTGCTCTCTCTGTCAATGGGGACAGTCCTCTTCATGACTCATTTAACTTGCAATTGGAACGGATTTGCGGTGGGAAACAAAGTGGTGATGGGTAAGTGAACAAAAGAAAACAAATACCAAACAACAAACATCTGTCGTAGACATTGAGAATGAATGTCATTATCAATCATGTGCTTCCATTAAATGGAAGATTCGTAGATTTTCAAGCATCGAAATTCAATTACAAAAAAAGTAAATAAAAATGTTCTCCTCCCCCCTACCCGCTAAAATTCAATGGCAACACTGCGAACAAGACAATAGAAATAGAAACAAAACCGAAAAAAAAGAAACAATAAAAGTTTTCAATTTTCCCAGAAACAACAATGTCGTTGAGTACCAGCAATTTCCCACCATCGGCAACAACAAAAACAACCACAGCAACAACATTTGTCTATTTTGTTGTGGCTCTTCAGTGGAAAATGTTTGTTTCATTTCTGATGTCATCTGCCGCTGAGGCAAAATGTTGAACCCAACCAGCCAGTCAGCCAGGGTTCATTTGACGACGGCATCGTGTCGGCTTGGAATGCAACTTCAAAGACATTTTCGGGTTCCAATACCAGGAGCCCAGACTTGATAGACCCAGCAAGTGTTGGATTTTTTATTTGGTTTTTTGTAGCGAATGAATTTTGTTTTTGATTCGACGTTAGATATAAACTATGTTTTCTGTTTCTATTTCGTTTCACGAGGGGGGTTTTTTATTTCTATCCACCTTTGAATGTCGTTATGGGTAATTAAAATTGTTTTATTATCTCCATAATAAACCAAAAAGCAGAACAAGCTTGTTTTATAATATTCATTTTTAATATTTGATAATGTTGTTGAGATTGTTGTGTTTTGCTTGGCCAAAAGTTAATAGTTGAAATTAAAATGTGTGCCAAAATTGGGTTAATGTCGGTAACAAAAATCTTCAGTCGTCTGATGTTGCCAAAAATTTGCGCTCAAGATGTGAGAGCGGAATATTATAGCAAAATAGTTTTTCAAAGACTATCAAAGCCAGAAACGTAGATTTTTTACAATTATTTTTTCAAAGACTATCAAAGCCGGAAATGGTGATTTTTTAAATTTATTTTTTCAAAGACTGCTAAAGCCAGAATTGGAGCGACAAATACGTGGAGCGAAATAGCCCATTTACGAACTTAGCCTGCGTACTGATAAACAATGCATGCATGCAAAATTTAAGCTTCAAATCTCAATTCGCACAAAAAGAGAACGGATAGTCCGAGCTTGCTCCAACTTTGCAAATCCTAATATTTGCATCAGTGCTAGGTTAGGTGCGAAAATGGACAATATCGGTTCACTGCACCAAGTACCTCCCCCATAAGGAGTCAAAGTGTTGAATAATTATACAAAATGTGATGTCCGAGTGTCGTCAAATTACACGCATTAACCCAAAGTCTGGTGCGAAGAGGGGATATATCGGTGCACTCCTTTTGGTACCTCCCCCACAAAGAGTAAGAATTAGCATGCGATCGCATTTAGACTTGACACGTCTCAATATTTCCATCTACGCAAGATCTGCTATAAAGATGACAGAGATCGGACCTTTCCTCCTGGTACAATACTACTGATATTTTTTATAAAACTGATACTTTTTAACTTGTTATTTAAGAACCTTAGTCAGAATATCCTCAGAAAATATTTTCTTAAAAAGGCTATCGATTTTATTATTATTTTATTATTAATATCTTCTGTCAGAGAGTTTTTCATGAAGTTCTCAAAATAATATTTCAAAAGGCCAAGATTTTTTGGTCGAAAGAAAGTCTTTGAAATTTTTTCATAAAAAATCCAGGATTTTCGGTCCGTAGTTTTATAAAAAATCTGAAAATCCACGATTATTTGTTCAGGAGGTCCTTCTTAAAATATTCGCAAGATATATTCGATGTTCGTTTAAGAGGTCTTTGGAGACATGTTCTCAATCAGAAGGTGCTTAAAAACATTTTCTCAGAAATCCACGATTATAGGCTGAAGATTTTCGAAAATAATTTTACCATTTTTGGTCTGGGGTTCTCAAAAAATATTTCCTTAAAAGGTTTTAGTCAGGAGCTTTTCAAAAAATATCCACGATTGTTTCCTAGCAATTTTTTTTCTGAAAATCAAGGTTCAAAGGTCCTGAAAAAATATTTTCAAATCCACAGCTTTTTTGGAGTTCCTAAAAATATCTATTTTTTTGAAAATGATGACTTTTTGGTCAGTATGTCCTTCCAAAAATATTTTTTAAAATATCAATGATGTTGTGGCCGGGTCATCTTTGAATATATATTATAGAAACTCCACGATTTTGAGTTAAGAGGGGTGAGTTTTGGAAGTCCTCGCATTTTTTTTAATCAGCTTTTTCAAAAGGAATTTGTTAAAAAAAAATTTCAAACTTTACGATTTTTTGTCTGATGGTCCTTCAAAATTTAATTTTTTTTTTCGTCTTTAAAAATCACCATGTTTTGCTCACATATGTAAGTCTGGGCCTAGATAAGTATATTCTTAACAAATCCATAATTTTTGGTCAGCTCAAAATTCTTGGTAAAAAACATTTTTTTTTTTTGTGGAGGACGTCATTTAACATTTGTTCTTAAATCACACTTTGATCAGGAGGTCGGAGGTCTTCGAATAACAGTTTATAAAAAGTCTCTGTGTTCTAAAAAAATATACAATTTTTGGTCTAAAGGTCCTAAAAACATATTTTCTTTAAAAATACAAGGTTTTTGGTGAGGTTTTCCTTTACAATTATCTCTTAAATTATTAACAAAAACTATTTTTTATTTTTAAATTCATTCATCGAAAAATATTTTCTTAGCCAAAGACCATTTTTGTCTGTGGATATAAATATTTTGATAAAAACGCAAATATTTTTAAAAACTATTTTATAAAAATAATGCACAATTTTATTGTCTGGGGGTTTTGGAATAATATTTTTTAGAATTCTCACGATTTCTCTCAGGGAGTTCTTGAGACAATATTCTTAAAAAATTACATGATTTTTGGTCAGAAAATCTTTGAAAAATTATTCTTGTTGCAAGGAGAACTTTCTCCGAGAATCGATTGGAAAAATATTTTTTAAATTTCTCAAGGTTTCTCTTAGGGAGTTCTTGAGACATTATTCTTAAAAATACATGATTTTTGGTCACATTATCTTTGAAAAATTATTCTTGTTCCAGGGAGAACTTTCCCCGAAGTGTCGTTTCAATAATCTACGATTTTTGACCAAAAGGTAATACAGGAAAAAGTTTTGTAAAAATCCACCACTATTGATCGAGATATCCTTGAAAATAGTTCATTAGGAACCATGTCCATGTCTAGAATGTCCTTTCTTAAGAAATTCATGATCAGATGTTCCTTCAAAAGGATTCCTAAGAAAGAGCTTTTTGTTCAGAAAATATTTAAATAAAGGCATTTTAAATCCATGTCTAGTGGAAAAATACTTCTAAAATTTCACTATTTGTTGTTGGACGAGGTGGTGTCCACTAGTTTTTCTTTTCCTTAAAAAATATTTTTTTTACAAAATTCATGATATTTGATCCTTAAAATATATTCTAAAAATATCCACCATTTTTTGTTCCCTAAAATATGTTTCTATGATACTACCACTTTTGTCGATCTTTTAAACAAACATCCTAAACTTTTGGGCTTAGAAAAGGTTTTTAAAACATAGACGATTTTTCGTCCTCATATTTAAAAAATCCCACGAATTGTTACATGAAGTCCTTGAAAAATACACACATTTTTCAAAACTTTTCCCTAAGTTAAATTTTTTATCCGAAAAATCCTTTAAAAATTCACGATTTTTGGTGGAAGGAAATCCTTTAAATAATATTCTCAACAGTCGAAGATTTTTGAAACACACAACTTTTAATTAGAGATCCCTGAAAAACATTCCTGCAAAATTTACAATTTCATTAAATCAGTTTTAAGGCCTTTTGATCGATTTAATCACAATAACTAATAAAATAGGTATCCACCAATATCGCCCCATTTTTTCTTGATACTCCACAAAAAGTCAAAAATTAACATTAATTTTCCAAAATTTCTTTTTACATTCCACCCCATAACAGGTCAACATTTTTAATTATCGGAACTCACGTAAAGTACGAAATATTTTCACAACTTTTTAAAAACTAGTACATTAAACTCCAGATTCAGAATGAGTATAAAATGTGCTCGTTCTACCCCCTAACATTAGTTTTTTTTTAAACAAAATCCCTTTCCATGGCCTTTTTAATTTTAATGCCCAAAAGATACGGATAAACGCACTTACTCTCCCAATTTCTCCAAGTTCTCAAAATAGGTTGCCCTTGTTAAACAAAAAAAAAAAAAAAAAAAAAAAAAAAATATGGAGAATATTTTCTTTCATGATCCCCGAGTTTTTAGGGTGTTTCAAAGCTCGCTCCCTGATTTCTAGCTATTCATAATATTTCCTTTCCCTGCTCCACCTTCTGTTTTTAAAAATACAATCATATAGTCTTCGTCATATTGTCTACCTTTGCAATAATAATGCATCCGATTCGCAGATGGCCATCCCATCCCACCAGACACACACACTCATGCATACACATCCATACAACGGGGACCCATTGCAAATGCAATTAGGTCACATGACCTGGTCTGCCTGCTGCCATCGCCACGATAAATTCACATCAAAGGCTTTTTCCGCATTTCATACCAGGAGTGCAGATTCAATGAAATAAAATCAAATGCACTTCATGACAACAACAACTACAATGACGACAACAACTTTGACAACAACAATAAATAATTTGCACATCAAAAAAGATAACAAATAAATGTACTACAACAAAAATAAAAGAAGCAAGGCAACAACAAAAAAAAAAAAAAAAAAAAAAAAACAAACAACAATTGTCGTTGGCCACTTTGAAATGTACACGCACACACAATTATATGCAAAAAACACACGCACACACCTACATACATACACACATATTCATGTATAAATTTAACCCATAATTCCCTTTACATTGTGGCATGCAAATTACTCTCTCTACCTCTCCCTCCCTCCCTCTCGATTATTATTATCCTTGCCAGGGTGCTGGTGCTTAATTTGAA